CACCTAAGGCTGTGCATTCCACGTCTGTGGAATTCCATCTGCCATCAAGATTCTTTTTTTTTAAGATTTTATTTATTTGACAGGGAGCACAACTGCTGAGCAGGGAGCCCAACGCGGGGCTCGATCCCGGGCCGCTGGGATCATGACCTGAGCCGAAGGCAGACGCTTAACGACTGAGCCACCCAGGCGCCCTGCCATCAAGATTCTTGATGGTCACCAGTCTCCTCTGTCCCCTGTGGCCTCATAGTCAGGGTGACCATGTGGGACAGTCTTAGTTTGTGCCTGGGGTCCAACTTAATTGTTAATAGCACCGTCTTACCTTTTCAAAAGTGGCCTGGTTTGGGGGATAAATTCTGTAGCCACTTTCATAGGCCTTTGGAGAGTCAGAACCGGCAAGGCCCTCTCAGGAGCCTATGTAGGTACTCACCGCTGAAGGGAAGCGCCGCATGTCTCACCACCTGCCTCTCCTACCTCCCTCTCTCTGTGGCCAGAGAGGAAGAAGAAATACCTGCAGGCAGCACTGCTCAAATCCCTGTTCCAACCGTGACTTTCCTCCCTTGGCTCCTTCAGCTAGCTCCTCATGCCTCCATCCTGAAGGGTCTTCAGAAACCCTCTTACATGTGGACTCTGTGTTCCCCAACTTGAATCTAGAGCACTGCCATCTACTGTCTTCATGTCACCACTTGCTTCATGGGTACATTGAGAGCTCCAAGATTATTGCCGCCTAATGAGCTGCATTTTTAACCTTTTAATTAACAAAATATTAAGAAACAAATCCAGAGTCGGTAGGGTATGAGGAAGTGGATATATTCAAATACCATTGAGCCTTTTTGGAGGGCTCTTTGGCATACCCCATGAAAGAAGGTTTTTGTTTTGTTTTGTTTAAGATTTTTATTTGAGAGAAAGAACATGAGCAGCAGGGAGGGGCAGGCAGAGGGACAAGCAGACTCGACCTGGGACTCGACCGCAGGATTCTGGGATCATGACCTGAACCCAAGGCAGACGCTTAACCGACTGAGCCACCCAGGCACCTCCCCATGAAAGAAGTTGAAAACAACGTCAGCATAATTTTTTTAAAAAGTTAAAAAATACAAACTGGTGCGGGCAGAATTCACGAAGAAATCTTTGAGACTTTCCAGTAGGGAGTTCTGTTACATAAAGTTTCCCAATTCTTTTTTTTTTTTCAAAACCAGCACAGCAATGATACTAAGACCTAAAAAAATACATACATCAGAGAAATCTAAGAATCACTCTTACGCATATTCACACAGAATACTAAATAAAATATTAGCAAGGCATACCAAAAATGTAGATGCAAGAAGCATTTTTACTGTTTATATTAACTACCCATTGTTGACTAACAAATTGTTGCAAATTTAATGGCTTAATACAACAAGGATTTATTATCCCACAGTATCTGTGGGTTAGAAATTCTGTAGCAGCTTGCCTGGGTGGTTCTCATTCAGGGATTCATGAGATTGCAACCAGGGTGTTGGTTGTGTCTATCTGAAGGCACGATGAAGCTGGAGGATCCACTTCCAAGATGGATCTGTGTTGGCTGTTAGCAGGAAGCCTCAGTTCTTTGTCAAGTAGGCCTTTCTGCGGAGAGCTTGATCTTACAACACAAGCAATGGCTTTTGCTAGAACAAGTGATAGTGAGCGAGGAAGAAGCTGGGGCTCTAACCATCACTTCCACCTGACTTGTTGGGAACAGTTCACTAGGTTTTTAGCCCCCACTCAAGGGGAGGGTAATTAAGTTTTACGTCTTGGAGAAAAGAGTCGAATAATTTGCGGACATATTTAAAAATCCTTTTAATATTCAGTATCCACTTCTACTTTTTAAAAATACCCTTCAAAAATAAGGATAGGTCTTCCCACTACTAAATCCTCAAATACAATCTTGCATCCACTTCCTACTCCTTATCTTGAAATAAAGGCTTTAACTTGTTTCTGCATCAGCCCTGCCCCCTGTACTGTGGGGTCCATCCTCTATTGCCTTCTGGAGGACCTTGCTTTACTGTTACCCTTTCTCCTACATCATTCCCTTACAGATGTACTCTAGTTTCTCTCATCTTCAAAACAAAACACTACTCTACCCCATGTCTTCACTCATTCCATAGCCAACGTTCCTGAACAGTTGTCAGTATGCCGTTTCTAGTTTGTCAGCTCCCATTTACTCTTCTACACAGTATCACTTGGCTTCTACGCTAAATTGATTTTTTGAAGGCCACCAACAACTAACTTTCTTTCTTTTTCTTTCTTTCCTTCCTTTTTTTTTCTTTCTTTCCTTTCTTTCCTTTCTTTCCTTCTTTCCTTCTTTCCTTCCTTCCTTCCTTTCCTTCCTTCCTTCCTTCCCTCCCTCCCTCCCTCCTTTCCCCTTCCCACATAACTTGCTCTGTGTACCTGGTTGTTCCTGAGTTACAGTCTTCTATAATAAAACAGTCACCTAGTAAGTAAGATTTTTTCTTGAGACCTGTGAGCCACTCTAGCAAATTAAACCCAAGGGAGGGGGTCGTGAGAACCTCCAATTTATAGCCAGTTGTTCTGAAGCACAGGTGATAACCTGGACTTGCAGTTGGCATCTGAAGGGAGGTGAGTGGGCAGTCTTGTGATACTAAGCCCTTAACCTGTGGGATCTGACGCAATCTTCAGGTAGGTAGTGTCAGAATTAAGTTATAGGATGCACAGCTGTGTTGCAGAATTGCTCGGTGTGTGGAAACACACACATCTAGTGTCGAATGAAGTAGTGTTGTAGTACCAAGGGTAGACAGACCAGTAGTGTTTTCTTTGAATCAGGTATCACATTATTGAATACTACACATTAATGGAAGGTACCTTGCTTCATGGTTCTAAAATAGATCATGCAATTTAGAGTTTAGAAGCTCCTGTGCCCACTGATAGCAAATTTATAAACAAAGCTGCCTCAGGATTCCAGAATTTGGGATTTGATATCTTGAGGCTTAACAAAAGAAACCTTGCCTTGGCAAAAGATAGACATTGAAAGACTGATGACCAGTCACTTCTTCCTTTCCCCAAATTTGGATAGGAATCAGAATTGTAATTGCAGGAAAGAGCAAGACAATGGCAGCTCACCCGTTTTAAGTGAATCCCTACCAAAAGTCTTCAGATGCTGTGTCTGGAAGTTCATCTATTCAACAAGTATACCTAGTAAGGGTCTACCATGTGGCAGATTCTGGGGTAGGCAGCGTGCATGCAGGAACTAAACAGAGCCTCTACCCTCAAGAAACTAGCATTCTAGCGGGATAGATGACAAATACATTCAGCTGGTGCTAAATGCTATGAAAAAAGCAAGGGACATATTGATGGGAGAGATGCCCTTTTTTTTTTTTTTTAAATAAAAGTAAGATGGTAATATTTGAAGAGAGACATAAAGCTTCAAAATCATGGGGCTGGGGCTGTGAACGGAGCGAGAGCCCTACAAGCAAAAGGAACAGCAAACACAAGCTGAAAGGTGGGAGAGTGCCTGGTGTGCCTGAGGCTGAGCCGAAGAATCATCCAAAGAGTAGTTGGTGAGGTAGGGTAATAGAGAAGGTACCTGGATGCCAGGTAGAAAACCTGTTTCCAAGAGGAGGGAGTAAGGAAGGGAAGTGTTGCTGATGGGTCTGGTAAGGTGAGCATGGAGAACTGTCAACTTGGGAAGACCCCGTTGAGATGTTTCAAAATTCCCACTGGAGTAGGTTCAAGAGATAATGCACAGCGTCCAGATGACTCTTTGGAAGATTATGCTCTAAAAGGACCAGAAAAATGGAATGGGATCTAGAGAGTGATAATGGGACATCAAGGGAGAGATTTTTAAAGCTGAGAGGTGTTTTGGGTTAGTGGTGGGAGTATCCAGACAAGGAACACTGGATGCAGAAGAGGATAGTGTAGCAGCAACAACGTCCTTGAGCACAAGAGCAGGGTTGTGCACAGAGAGACTGCCTGAGGAAGGAACAAGACCAACACCGCATCAGGTTAAGTACAGTGAACAGAGAAGCAAGTAAAACCAAGCAGGCCGCTAGCACGTCAGTTTCCTTTTCCTGCTCGTTTTGATTTATCTCACTTCTGGCATCTGTAGATTTTACATTTCTTTGACTTCATGTGTTTTTATGTGCTTGTTTTTTGTTTTTGGTTTTGTTTTTTTAATTAGCATTTCTCTGCTTTAGAGTGCGGGGGTGGTGCTGCTGTCCTTGAGTTTAGTCCAGTGTGCTATGCTGTTGAAAGAGGAAAATTAAAAATAGATCTTTTGAAAGAGTTTGAGAGGCCTTTATGTTATGTTAGGGGGGAAAAGCTGCACTTTTAATATAATTAAAAGTATCAGTATACACAGTGTATGTTAATGATTAATTCTTAATGGTTAACTCCAGTTAAATTAAAAAGTAAGACACTTCTGGGTAGGTAAGCATAGTTTAAAATATCTATGGAGATGCTAGTCTCTAAAGCTTTGTTAACTTCTATTTTTTCAAAATAAAAATATACTTTTCCGGACTTTAAAAGAAATAACATTTGTTGTAAAATATTTAAACAGTACAGAAATGTATAAAGTATAATTTTTCTCCCACACTTCCCCAACCTTATTCCACCTTTCAGAGAGAACCACAATACCTTGCAATAATACTTTTCCAGACTCTTCTGTATATATTTGCTGTTTGCTTCCAGCTTAGCTGTTTGATCTATTTTCAACAGAAAACTAAGTAAATAAACTGCCTGTTGGCAAAACTGATTTCTAAATCTCATCAAATTTGTAAGTATTTTAAACTCCAGGGCTTTATAAATGCATATAATTTAAATTATGCAGATTACAACAGCCTGTGTCTCAGTGAGTTCATGTGCCTTGTTTCAGGATTAAAAAGTTTAATACTGAAATATGCAATGCCAGTCTTAGCTTTTGGACTTGTGGTTTTTATATCACTGAGCAGTAAGTATAATGCAGTTTTAAAGGTTGACTTATTTGATGAAATATGGATTTCTGCTTAGCACATTTTTGGGTACTTCTATAGGAGAATGAAGTACTGAGAGAGAGGCACGAAGCTGTGGATCACAGCTCCCAGAATGTGGAAAATGAGCAAAGAGTATCAGTCCAAGAAAAATCACTACCGCAGAAGAATGAGGATGAAAGTAAAATAGCAGATAAACCTGACTGGGAGGCAGAAAAGACCACTGAATCTAGAAATGAGGTAAGCGTTATCATAGTAGCTCAGCCTTACTATTTTCGCTGTAAGGTAGATTTTTTATTTTTTTAAGATTTTATTAGAACAAGTACACAGGAGTGGTGGGGAGGGGCAGGGGGAGAGGGACGTGCAGACTCCGGTGAGCAGGGAGTCAATAATGATGACCTTGAGGGGCTAGATCCCGGGATCCTAGCATCCTAGGACCCCAGGATCATAACCTGAGCCTAAGGCAGATGCTTAACCGACTGAGCCACCCACGTGCCCCTGTAAGGTAGATTTTATGGCTTTGACAGTATGTGTTGGTAATGAATCTTCCATTAAGTGCCCTACTATAAGCAAATCAGATATATGAAAATATTTTTTGTAGTTGTGGAAGTGATTGATTTACAAAGGAATCAGCCCACAGACTTAGTTATCTCTAGTTAAACTCAAGATTGTTTGTGTGTGGGAGGGTGTATTTATACACACACACCCTTCCAGGAAGCTGCTAGCAGGTTTTGTGTTTGCCATGGCAAGGGATAAAGAGGTGACTGGAACAGTAAACCCAGGAATCCTCAACCAGCCCTCTGCAGAGGCAACCAAGCTGGCTAGGTCTGGGATAGTGAGGCAGAATAACTTGAAGGCAAATCCACCCCTCAAAACCAGCTAGGTCTTGGGCTCAAACCCTCAGTCTCCCGAGAGGTAGGCCATTCTGAACTCGGGAGCCCACTTTGTACTTCTGGCCAGGTCCAGAGGGACAGCCCCCTTGGCTACTCTAACCATACCCTTTGGCTATAAGAAGATGATTATAGAAAGATGAATTCTTCCTGCAGCCTGTACTTTCCCTTCCTTCTACTCTTTTTACTCAGCCCTCGGACATCCCAGTCCACTCCAAAGACAGGCCTGGAGGTTCCACAGACCCTTAACCCACTTGGCACTTCCACTTAGAAGGTGCACCCTTGCAGGTCTTGCCCTGATGGCTCTCTCAGCCAATGACCTGCCCCAGATGGGGAACCATGTGTTTAAATTTAACACAAAGTTTTAGGAAAAATTCTAAGAATCTGACTTAAAAAAGAGACTGACCATTTCTTGGCAATCTAAATTACCATTAAGGGGTCACCTGGGTGGCTCAGTTGGTTAAGCATCTGCCTTAGGCTCAGGTCATGATCCCAGGGTCCTAGGATCAGGTCCCACATGGAGCTCCTTGCTCAGGGGAGAGCCTGCTTCTCTCCCTCTGCCTGCCACTCCCCCTGCTTGTGCTGTGTCTAATAAAATTTAAAAAAAAAAAAAATCACAACGTATAGAATGTGTCTCGTGGATTAACTGAAATAATGGCTTAGTTGTCCATTTTTGTGCAAGAGCTAATATCTCAAAAAAATTGTTCTTTATAATTTAAGTGTAGTAGAAAGAACTCTGTCATATGGACTTCAGATGTTAAGGCCCTCAACTAGAAAGCATGTAACACATCTGATGAGATTCTGAAGAGAAATAAGGGGTTTTCATTGTTTAAGAGGGGAGGGCGGGGCGCCTGGGTGGCTCAGTTGGTTAAGCGACTGCCTTCGGCTCAGGTCATGATCCTGGAGTCCCGGGATTGAGTCCCACATCGGGCTCCCTGCTCGGCGGGGAGTCTGCTTCTCCCTCTGACCCTCCCCCCTCTCATGTGCTCTCTCTCTTTCTCTCTCTCAAATAAATAAATAAAATCTTAAAAAAAAAAAAGAGGGGAGGGCATGTTTAAGGGAAACATCAAAGAATAAGGAAACTCTCAAGGACCAATAGCAACATGAAGCCGTTACCCCCATCAGGGCAGAAGGGAATCTGGGAAGAATGAGTGCTCAGTTCTAAGGCACATCTGTCCCTCCCATCTCAGATCCGTGTCTCCTGTGGACCTAGCCAGGGGCCTGGCTCAGTAGGAGTTAGCTCCTCAGTTTGCCATCTCCAGGGGCACTGAAGAAGGGAACAAACAAAGGTTTAATGAAATGTATGTGACTAGCCTGAAGGATCAGTCCATAACTCACTTAAAGCAGAATGGGCTTCATACCCTTACCTCTGTTCTAAATATTAAGGCTTTCCTTTCTGCAAAGTTTTATTTACCCACAATTTAGGATTTTCACAGGAATCCAGATTTGTGCTGATACTCCTGTATACTTCTGATACTCACACACTTGTGACCATCTGCAAATTTTGGTCAATCGTTGGGCCAGGACTAATGTCTCAAGTTTGGGATCATTAATGGACGTAGAACACTTTTGAAATTTAAGAAATTAAAAATCATTTTGAATTAACAGTCATGTTAGCAAGTAAGTCTCCAGCCCACTAAGAATGTATATACGATTTGCTAGTAAATGAAGAAATCTTATCCACCAGTTCAGCTCAGATGGTCCTATAGCATCCATAGACACAGAAAGCCTTGTATTTGTTGTACTATGGGCCTTGAAAACATGGTATTTGGTGGGAAGGGAAACCAAGTATACACTTAAAACAAGTCTAACTGGCCTGAATCCTCAAAAAAGGAAACCCTTTAGTACAAAGCTAGGGGAGGGGAGTCAGGAATGTGAGCTTCCTAAAATGTAAAGATAAAACCCGATAGACCAAAACCAGAAATCCTGGATAAAAATATTTTTTAAGTGCATAGTGGAACTCGAAAGCAAGAAAGGGAACTCTGTAGATGCTAGAAGCAAAGAGGCTACTCAAATCCAGAACTTTTTTTTTTTAAGATTTCATTCATTTATTTGACAGAGAAGAGCGACAGCGACAGAGGGAACACAAGCAAGGGGAGTGGGAGAGGGAGAAGCAGGCTTCCTGCCAAGCAGAGAGCCCGATGTGGGGCTCGATCCCAGGACCCTGGGATCATGACCTGAGCCGAAGGCAGATGCTTAATGACTGAGCCACCCAGGTGCCCCTCAAATCCAGAATTTAAAAGATAACCAGACCCCAAAACTGAAGAAGCCCTAATGAAAAATTGGATACAGATGTCATTTCATGACAGAGACTGGGGTTGAATAGACGAGGAACAAGGTCTCAAGCCCATACCTGGGGGTTACCTAAATTCCCCACTTAAAGCTCAGAATTTATAAAGACTCTTCAGGAGATGGGACTAGGACAATCCTAGCCACCACCTAGGAGACAAGAGCAAGGAAGCAGTCTATCCATCCTTAGAGATCAGAACCCCAAATGAGCCCAACATTTTAGAGTCTGAATCCACACTACCATTACTATCAGGAATCCTGAGCAGTTGATCCTTGCAGAGAAAAAATTGTTTTTATAGTTAGCAGCTAACCCTTGGTATATAGGATTCCTACAGAAACAGTTACCAACAAAGATGAGCTCACCCTTAAATATAAAAATTAAGACAGAATGAGAAAATTTATTTCTAGTAGGAGTCCCAGAAAAGACTAGAAAGTATGAAGGTGAAGCAGTCTTCATCACAGCCTGAAAATTCACTGGAGGTAATTGGAACCTTGGTTTTTATCTTTGTAGGAAAATGTGCACTGATCGTGAATATGTTTAACCTCTTTAATGGGATGACAAAGTATTTTGAAGATTAAAGTGATTTTAGGACTCAGATTAAAGGAGTACAGAGTCCCAAGCAGAATAAATAAAAAACAAATTAAGTCCAATACATCAAAGTGAAATAGGACAACAAAGACTACAAAGAAAAAAACCTCTAAAATTACTGGAGAAAAAAAATTGGCTATAAATGACAGACTGACATCAGTAGCAATACATGCCTTAGTGCAAAGCACAAAGGGAAAACATTAAACCTGATCATCTCACCAAATCACTGTTTAAGCATGAAAGCAAAATAACTCCAGGTTATAAAAACTGAGTTCTCTAAAAAGAGCTGTCAAAGGAGTTATTTCAACAAGAAACAAACCTGAAGGCTGGGATAAAGCAATAATGAGTGAAGTTGGCAAAACATTTTGGTAAATCTAAGTATGTATTTGACTTGTAAAAATTACATAATGTTGTAACCAATTTGGAGGGTTATTAGCCATGGTAAAAAATAAGGTCAAACAAAGAATACTAGCCAAAAATATGAAAGATGGTTAGGGCAAGAATGGGGGGGGGGGGCAGATACTGAAAGAGGAATTTAAAAATTCCAAAATAGGGATAAAAAATCCAGAATGGAGAAAAGACCTGGTTATCCTTTCAAGATTAAGCCTAAAGCCCCAAGCAACCTCCTCTGCCTTTTAATTTAATGGTGCACCTTACATTTTTTTCTAGAGATCTCTAAATGGGACAGAAACAGCTCTCTCTCTGGAAGACTTATTTCAGATGCTTTCATCACAGCCTGAAAATTCACTGGAGGTAATTGGAACCTTGGTTTTTATCTTTGTAGGAAAATGTGCACTGATCGTGAATATGTTTAACCTCTTTAATGGGATGACACAGTTTATGACGGAGTAATAGTTCTGTAACAGTACTGCATTATGTAAGTGCACAGATTTAGGATTACTTTTTATAGAACTACTTTCAATTTTAGAGAATTAACCAAATATGTATACTGTTCCTCCTCCTAAATGATCACAAGGATATAGTTAAATTTAGGATTCACTGAATCAAAACGACAGTAAGTAAGGGCGCCTGGGTGGCTCAGTCGGCTAAGCCTCTGCCTTTGGCTCTGGTCACGATCCCAAGGTCCTGGAATCAAGCCCCGCATCAGGCTCCCTGAGCCTGCTTCTGCTTCTCCTGTCCCTCCTCCCCTGCTCGTGCTGTTGATAAATGAAAAACAAAACAGTAAACATGACAAACTAAGGCATAATTATTTTTCTGGTAGCATTTATATCTTGACCATACTCTTACTATGCTGGTCTGATTTACTTTAAAAAACAAAAAAACCCCCCGAAAACCAGAATACCCACCCACCTCGCCCAGAGACTTCAATGTGGACTTAAAGCTTAACAGCTAGGTTGATTGTTTGCATCTATAAAGCAGCAAGTTACAGTAATATTAGAATTAATAGCAAGACCAACTTTTATATTAACTGAATCAAACTTTCTGAATTTTCAGTATATACAAAAAAATCTTTCCCCAAATATGCCATCATTCAGATTTGGGCTCACATTGCATATTGTATTTGTCTAGGTTTAGTAAGTGATTGATTCATAGGTAACCATAGAGAGGAACTGACAAGAGAGGAAAGAGTGCTCTATTGTTACTGGAACTGCTACTGAAATAAGGTTGTGTATTTAAAATGCTCTTTTTCCCTTCTCAGGGCATCTCCCTTGGAAATATTTTTCCAGGAAGTATCAGTGATGGCATGAATTCTTCAACACATAATGTAAACTTTAGCCAAGCTATAAGTCACGATGTGAATCTCCATGAGGCCATGTTGCTGTGTCCTGACAATACATTTAGAAGAGAACCAGTAGCAAGGACTTCACAACCACAAGAACCATTTCTGCAGTTAAATTCTCATACTACCAATCCTGAACAGACCCCTCCTGGAACTAATCTGACAGGATTTCTTCCCCTTGTTGGCAATCAGATGAGGAATCTAACAAGTCAAGATCTTCTACATGACCTCGATATAAACATATTTGATGAGATAAATTTAATGTCTTTGGCCACAGGTTTTGATCCAATGGAAGTGTCTCAGCTTTTTGAAGAACCAGATTCAGATTCTGGGCTTTCCCTAAATTCAAGCCACAATAGTACCTCTGTCACCAAGTCTAATTCCTCTCGGTCTGTGTGTGAAGGTGCTACAGGTTGTAGTAGTGATCTTGAACCTCTTTTCCACCGTGACTTGGAAGGAGCTGTAGGAGGGTACTACCCAGAGCCCAGTAAGCTTTGTCACATGGACCATAGGAGTGATACTGGTTTTCATGGGGACCTTGCATTTCAACACATTTATCATAACCACACTTACCACCTACAGCCAAGTGCTCTAGATTCCACTTCTAGATCTTTTTCATGGCATGGGAAGTCACAGAAAATAAGTAAGTACCTCAATGACACAGACAGAAACTTAAGCCGTGATGAGCGGCGTGCTAAGGCTCTGCATATCCCTTTTTCCGTAGATGAAATTGTCCGTATGCCCGTTGATTCTTTCAACAACATGCTAAGCAGGCACTACCTGACAGATTTACAAGTGTCACTCATCCGTGATATCAGAAGAAGAGGGAAAAATAAAGTTGCTGCTCAGAACTGTCGTAAACGCAAACTGGACATAATTCTGAATCTTGAAGACGATTTATGTAACTTGCAAGCCAAGAAAGAAATCCTTAAGAGAGAAAGAGCCCAGTATAACAAAGCTATTAACACAATGAGACAAAAACTGCATGACCTTTATCATGATATTTTTAGTAGGTTAAGAGATGATGATGGTAGGCCAGTCAATCCAAACCAGTATGTTCTACAGTGCAGCCAAGATGGAAGTGTTTTGATTGTACCTAAGGAACTGGTGAGCTCAGGCCACAAAAAGGAAAACCGTAAGGGAAAAAGAAAGTGAGGAAACTGAAGACAGATTCCATTAAGATGTATAAGGTATCAAACGGATACATGGCCACAAACCATTGAAACTGCTTCAAGTTTGGCTCCAGTATCTTTTACTACTGCTACTTGAATCACTCAGGGCTACGTTTTGAAGCTTTTGGACAAATTTGTGGTTAGTTTTGGGGAAACCACAACTTTTCATGAAGCCGACTGCATTATATGCAGGACTCCTGACAGGACAGTCCAGTCACTTGGTAACCATTCCCACCCCCACCCCCCGCAAGATGGTCACTTCAAAGAGCAAACACTGGATGTAAATTTTAAGCATTTTGGTTTTTGTGACTTGAAATGCAACATAATGTAGCTTTTAGCTTTAAGTATTTTAGCACTGAATATATGGAGTCTTACAAAAGCTATTTTATCTTTCAATGAATACTTAAATTACAACTTTCTGTGCAACTTCTATATTTGAATTTATAAAAATTTCTTATATAGAAATTCTAACCGTATTTATCTTGGATATTTTTCTCCACAAAACCCACATTCAGCTATACAGGTGATACATGTAGCCAACAGGGCAGCACAGTGTGGGTTTTAGTATTGCACAAAAATTGATCAGACTTAGGCCAAACAGTCACGCCTTCAACTTACCCAACTTCTAAACCAAGGTGCCAAGGAACAAAATTGGGGCTTCAGAACATTAGACTTTGTCTAAGGACAAAGACCTTTACACAGGTTTATGCCTCTTGTAAGTAGACACAGCTACTTGCATATAGAGAAATAGAACTACCTAGCAAGTTCAGCCAGCCTGTAGAAATGTCTGCACATCTGTAACGTGGACCTCTCCCCCAAAAGGCCTCAACATAACAATGTGAAAACGTTACAAGCAACACAAGCCAACAGTAGGGGAAAGGGGAAGTCAGTAGAGTATGGGCTTTACAACCAAATAAAACCTGGAATAATTGGAACCACATGAAACACTCTTAAATGCTTAAAAAAAGGCAAAAACAGTAAGTGAATTTGTAAATGAAAGCTCAGTGAGCTTATTTCAACAGCAACCTGGATAACTTTCTGAAAATGTTCAAGGTTTGGCAACATTAAAATTAGTAGAGTCAACGTTGTCATAATGATCTACCAAAGGGTATCACAGGAGTACCACCTTGGTTTAGAGACATGCAGTGGTTTCAGAGTCTAGATTTTTAACGCCTTAAACTGAACCTAGGTAGGTAATTTCAAGACCAGACTTTCAACAAAATGCTTTGACAGTTTTGTAGTGCCCAGAAATTACTTCAGATCTACAATTTAAACTTCCACAGTACTACCTACCTACAAGTAGCCTTATCCACCCAATTGTTAACACTTATGACGGTGCACTATCCTCAAATCCCTGAAAATATCAAGCACAATGGAACTATACACCAAAGGATCAAACATGGATAAATACGGACCTAAGAACAGGGACTTAAAATTTTGACATTCACAGTAACCAAAGCTTAAAATAGTTTGAGTCTGGAAGGTATTTGGTACATTGTGACCAAAAGTAAATGCACCAAACTTCCAAAGAAAAATCTGGCCTCAAAGCATGTAAACCTCAGCTGCTTACTCTTCTACCAGTTTCGGCAGTGGAAATCCCACCGCCAAGATTTTAGTCTAAATGCCCTTGCAGATTAGGAATGTAATGGACACCTGAAGGATGACTGAAATGTTCTGCTAGCTAGTGGTCTTAAAATGTAGTTTTTCCTGGAGTTCAGAAAGGTTACAGAAAAGGAGAAATCTAATCTACTCAGCTTCAGATTGTAGAAACTGACCATGTTCAGAATCTCAAAGTTCTCACTGAAGCTGTATGCACTTTGCTTGGTAGAACTTGAACCAAACTGCTCACTGAGCTGCATAAGACATGGTTATGCAGTCAAGACTGTTGTTACTGAGCAGCTTTATCAAAACAAGGTTTCAAGGGAGGGGCATGTGTCCTCATACCCCCAGTGTGTTCCCAACTATTTGGTATAGGGTTTACAAATGCAAATTTCAAGGGAATCAGTAAGACTTAAGATCCCTGAGATCAGTAATGCTTACTCTTAGGCAACTAATTAACCCTTAGCTGCTTTTACATTTTCTGGTGGGTACCCCCCCCCTCCTGAATCTGCAGCGGAAAGGCCCAAATTTACATTCCAGTTTGAATTGGTCCCAACAGGAAACTAGTCTTACCTTCTTTACCTATGGAAAATAACTTAATCCTGCAGTCATTCATCCAATTATAAAGTTAAAGAAATCTGGTTGGTCAGCCAGATTCTCAGCATCTCATTTGTCCTTTTCCGGATAAAGCCTTCATATTTCACAAGTAACCATCAACAGGTATCCATGTTGAACCACCTTACAGGTGAAATTAGATTTTCAAGTGTATGATCTCCATGCAACATGTACTAAATAATGTCTGGATATTTGGATCCCTCTAAAGGCTGGCTTCAGTTCAGCAAGGATCTTTGGAATATAGCAGTCAGAAAACCCAATTTGCACACACCCAAGCCCCAGAACAGAATGTCAGCCTACATAGTGCATGCATGTATCAGAACTTAAAAACCTTTTTATAGTTGGAATCAGTCTTAATTTTTCCCCCTTCTATAATCTTCAAAGAAATGAATCTGCCCCTTTCTTGGGTAGTCTACTCACCTCACTAGTTTGCCCAGTCACCAAAAAACCTCTTACATCTATGTGATCGGCGCAGTAGTCAACAGTGGTGTGTTATTAAAACTGAATGGGGTCTATCAACCACCCAGTCATTCCAAAGCTCAAAAGATCAGATTTACATAAAATTTTGCCAAGAATATATCTGTTTTTAGTATATTGGGATGTCTTCTATCTTTTTGGAAAGGAACCCACACTTGTGAACTAGTAAATGTCATTACTGAGAGTATTCTTTTAAAGTTTCCTTAAATTAACTCAGTACTGTAAACACTTAGTACAAAGTTATCCCTTTTAGACCATCTTAGCTTGTATCCATACACCAGTTATTTAAAACCTTACACGCAATAGAACGAACCAGTTTCAGAAACTTCCAGTAAAGATTAACACTCTAATGTGGAAGCCAGCCCTCAATATGGCTCCCAATGATGCTGGGTTCTCAGTAATCCTAGAAGTAAAACCCTTCCATCCACGACGTGACCATTATAATACAAAGTACTACTTCCAAATGTTGATTCTATTGGGTTTTGATTGCTCCAAAAGCTCAGTATAGGGAAAGGAAATAGCCAGCCCCAACTTGCCAACCCTGTCAGCATGCCCTAGTGAAGTTTTTCCTAACTGCAACCTGAGCTTCAGCAAAAATCACACAGCTCTAAGTTTTTAAGTTGTTGACCTGCAAATACTATGTAAAGTAACAAATTCATTGTTGCTCCAAATTGCTAAGTATTGAGGTTAAAGGTTAAGCCTGATGTAGTGATATAATGCAGCAACATATGCGAAAAAATGTTATTTCCTTCGTTTAGAAAACTTAAGAACTACCTTAAATCTGAAGTTCTAATAGAAATTAACAGCCCAATATACGACACACAAGGGAAATGCCTATGGTTGATTATTCAGCATTACCTTAGTTGCAATAAGCCAGTTCATTTCAGCCTATTGTGTACTGAATTTTCTTAAAATTTGTCCTGATTAAGGGTTGCGTACTTCAGGGTGTGTTGTCATACACCAACTTGATTTACCTCCTTTAAGTTTGAGTTCTTGGTAGAGCCGCATTTTTAAAACCTTCAAATATTTACCTTATTTTCAAGTACTCTCTAAGTTTACAGATGATGGACGCATCTATATTTTAAGCAAGTAACAGCTTAGCTCATCTTCTGTTAACCATCAGTTTGACTTACCTGTGAGATACCTCATTATCAAAACCAAAAAAAGTTATTAAATCAACTTTACTGTGTATCTTTCCTGTTATCTTTCATTGTTTCAGGTAAATATATACAAGAAAGCCACTGCTTGTTAAATTCTCTCCACCATATTTAAACCTTTAAAAAGACAACCACTGGTGCTCGCTTCGGCAGCACATATACTAAAAAAAGACAACCACTGAAACTCAGTTAAAAGGCATATAAAGGTAATTGACATTTAAGAAGCTACCATGACAGACTCAGTGCTTTGCAGTCACTTAATTGGGACCACTGTTTAAAATACTTGCAACAACTCCACCAGCAATGTTAAACATACAAGGTAAAGCCAGGAAACTAGAGCAGTATTCAAACGCTGAATGTACAGTATATGAAGAATGGCATTTTATTAGGGACAGCCAATAATGTCCACAATGCTTTTCTTATTTGACTATCAATACTGAAAGAAAAATGGCAATATGCATAGCTTTGTGAAACTGCTTTAAAAATCTAGGGGATGGCAATCTTTTAGACAACTGAATGTTTATAGAACAAGATTCACACATTTTATGTGTAAACATTACACCAAGTATTTGAATACAAAAGTGTTTATTTTATAAACTTTATATTTAAAATAGAATTTTTATCTGTCTACTCACAAAACCTAGTTTAAAACATGATACATTTCTCTCTCTAGCTTACTTGATGTTACTCTTTTACAAACAATACTCAATTTGTAATTGTTTTATATTAAGAACCTGTACTAAATGAAGTTTGTATTTTATCAGAAAACATTTCCCTTTAAACTTAAAGTGCTTTTTTTTTTTTTAAATGAAGGCACCAACAAGAACTACTTTCAGATGGTACAGAATTTCTTATTTCTTGAAGACTCTGTGGTTGACCACTTCTTCATTAGTTACCTGCAGCAAGACACCTTCCTGCCAAAGGAAAAAAAAAGTATCTGAAGAAGTTTATCATGTTTGTCCAAAGAACCTAAATAACTTCAGTGGTGGTCTTAGGATCAAAGAAGACTCACTGGTGCATACAGTAGAATATGCCCTGATTATCACATTCCTGAAAAGGCAATAAAGCCAGGCAAATCAAACTGATGACATTTAAGAATTTCAGCAGCCAACCTACATCTCTCCTATAAGGTACGGGGTTGGGAAAGAATTACCACATTTAAACCCAGATATTTAGTACTGGATACATACAGGATTTATAATGTAGACACTTTATTTGTAAGTATAAACTATCATCTGGAAATAGTTTCAACCATTTTACCCTACCTTCTCCTGAACCTGATTCTGATAAGCATGTAAAACTAGAACAACCATATAACAGAAGAACAAAATGTCTTTATTTTTAATAAAAACCACTAGGTTCACTCAAAATGCTTGATCCAAGAAACGTGAATACACAAGGGTGTAATGATGGGTAATTTCATGATTTATTCAACTTGCAGCCTAACTTTTACCTACCATTTTACTACCAACACCACTGAAGGAACCAAGAAAAGCTTTATTAATGATCACTTGGCTTGCGCCTCAGCTGTTGAAATGAAGCACTTTACAGTCTTTGTGGCAGCAGAATATACTTGTCCATGGTTCATATCAATGCTAAAATTCCAGCAGGGAAAAAAATGATATGTTAAGCACCTGAATCTTCATAGAGGGGGAGGGGGGTGGGAAAGAAGGAAAAAAAGGGGGGAAAAAAAACAACCAAAATAATTTAAGTAAATGACAGATTGGAAAACAGGGTTTATAAGATTATTCTCTTGAGTTTATAAATTGTTAAACTCAAATTTATAGCTATGTTAAACTACGTAAGAACCACTATACTGAAAGGCCATTGAAGAGTAGTATTAGTTTATCTTTTGGGGAGGAAAATTAAGAAAGGAAAAGTAAATAAGATCTTACCTAAAGAAGTTTAACTGAAGCTTAGAACTATTTTGCTCTACACCCTCAGCTTTCGTTGTCATCCTTATAAACTACTGTAGTTAAAGCTTTGTAGAAACAGCACAGTTTTTTAAGACTGGCTGAACTTAGTAGCCGTCAAGAGTTCTCTTGTACTAGACCTGTATCCCTGAAGAGTACCTCGCTGGGGTTATTTCCTTTCCTTGCATTGAAGAAGCAGCATCTAAAAGATCTAAAAAGGTGTTTCTCTTTGCAGAGATATCCCTTAAGTTATCTAGATAATTTAATCCTGATGAATTGCAGACAACACACTTATATCTGACCAGCATTTATCTTACACAAATATAACAACAGCTTTGCAATGGACCTTAATTATACTACCCACTCCTTAACTTATTTAAAATAAAAAGTCTATAATTACACAATTTCCTTTAGAATTATTTTATTAAATCATAAATGTACAACAGCTTCTTAACTCTACACACGCACTTAAATTTTTTTAAAGGAAAAACGTTATGTCTTATTACACCATGATCCTGGCTAATAGCTTTTCAAAACTTTGAGAAAAATCTTAAAAAAGGTTTCACATGTCACCTGAAACTTACAAATTTAACATTATCAAAGAAGGAATGCTTCTACACTCTTACAAAGACCACTAGAAAGAAACAACAATTAAAAAGCTAAGAAACTGTCTCAAAGGCATTTTTTTTTTTTTTTTACAATCCTTCCTCCACAGTAAGGTAATGTTATTAAATAATCCAATCCATTCACAAAATGGCTCTCTGCATCTGCTCTGGTGTCTTCTGCCATATCACTGCATATTTATGCATGACTGAGATAAGAGTTTCCTTAACATTGTTATTTCGATAACCTGAAGCTGTTCTGTTACCTCTGGGCTCTCATCCTCTCCTATTTATACAGTGAAGCCTGTTTCAACAGAAGTAAAGAGTAAAAAAAAAATAGGTTATGAAATTATCCATCTAACCAGATTTTAAGGAAAGATAACATGATCCTAAAAAGCTTTTACTCCTGGCAGCTAGATCTCCCAAGACAATAATAATGTAAAACTCAAAAGCTACTTACCCATGGCAAATAGGAAGAAGCTCAATATCGGCTTCTCCCTCCATAACCCCCACTTCCTCCACTGCCTCCAGGACCATAGTTTCCTAGAATCATTGAAACAGCAAGAGAAAGCAAACTTACTTCCATTTTCCGTAATAAGCCTAATACTATCTATAGCTAATTTCTATTTTAGAGACCTACACTCATTGAAACACACAGCTCATAACCTGTTATTTGCTTATAATTAACCTACTTGGGAGATCAATTATCCAGACTCACAGAAAGTTTAATTTTGCCCTTTACACTTGAAAACATGTATTTACTGCTGCTATTCCTTTATAGGGTTGTCTACCACAATCATTGGAGTCAGTACAGAGTTAAAAAAACGTAAAGCAAACAGAAGAGGCATAAAAACATTGATTTAGTACTACTACAAACTTTCTCAAGACCTTAAACAAATAATACTTTTAGTAAATAATCCCAAGTTTTTATTCAATTAACTTTAAAAGAGAGAATTCCTAGAACTTTATACACCTTGCAATGTGCTCAATCTTCTTTGGCTTTTTTTTTAAGGAAATAATTAGCCAAGGAAAAAGATCCCCACCTGAAATGTCTTACTTTCCCAAGTCCTAAATATTTTATACCACTGAATATCCCCACCATTTCAATTAACACTGAATTACAATGGAAGTATTAAACTAGCAATCAGGAGATCTTCCATTCTTAAAGTCATGGAAGTATTCTTTAATCACAAAATTTAAACAATCTAATAAATTACCTCCACCATATGGTCCCCCCATGTTCCTGCTACCACCAAAGTTTCCACTCTTCATTGGACCATAGTTAGAGGGTTGCTGGTTATAATTTCCAAAATCATTGTAATTTCCACTTCCATAATTTCCTGTGAAAAAATTGAAATAGGTTTTGCACAGTAACTTCCAAAATAACGTACTCAAGCATTAAACCAGTGAAACATGGTAAGCATATTTAGGACAAATCTCCCATAAAAACAATCATCAGAATAAATGCAAGACACCTATCTACAACTCTACAGTTTTTTTTTTAAGACAACTATTGACAACATTGAAATGCAAAATCTCGTGTTAAAAGTCATTAATTCCAATCCAAATTCCCACATAAAGGTTGCAGGTGAATTTATTACCTCCTCCATAGTTGTCATAACCACCTCCGTAGCCCCCACCCTGGTTGCCATATCCAGGTCCTCCACCACCATATCCTCCTCTTCCTCCTCCATAACCAGGGCTACCTCCAAAATTGCCACCTATTATAAAATAAGCCTTTAAGTAATTACTTAATATTTTCAATGGCATTTGAACTGTCTTATCACACCCATTTCCAGCTTTCCAAAACACATTCTTATCAACAAAATATTTATTCTATGAAATCTCTTCCTTAACAGCCTCAAGGGCAGAACAGAGTACGTATCCTTGGTAAACATTCAGGGGAGGGAGCACCTATTAAACTGGATAAAGACCTTTACAGAGACAAATACTTGCAATGCCACAGCTCTCCCCTGAGAGCAAAAATATTAAAGATTCTCTTGAAGATATCTTGAAACATTTATATTTTGCGTAAGGATTGTGGGGACAGACGAGGCATAGGGTAGCAGGACAAAAAAAAGCCACACACCCCTACTGGTCCAAAAGATTAAGTTGCAAACGTTTTTTCCCCATAAATTCCCATGTCTCTTAAATAATATGCCCACTATACCCTTCTTCTGAGTAGAAATGGGGGGAGGACCAGAAATTAGCAAACTTGCATGTAGTTCAAAAACTTAAAATGGCAGTCTCCAATTATTGAAATACAAGACCTTGTTCTTTCTCATAATACCAAATTAGTATTTGGATTTCAAACAAAACTGAAATAGGATATAGGATTAACTTATAATCATACTTAAGGAGTGGCAAAACCAGTTTTTCTATTAGTAGCTCAGTTTTTAGTATCCCATTCTTATTAGGACTTTTGTAAGTATTAACTTTTCTGTACTCCAAAAGAACACATCTAATACATCACTTGTTATGGAACAGTGGCTCACAACTTTAGCTGGTCCCAAGAATACAACTGTACAATTGTGTATTTTAGGAAGTTCTTTCAGTTACTTTTTTTTTTTTTTTTTTAACAGATTACCCTAGGGGACTTATCTTGGTAAGGGACTAATTTTAAGAAACAATTGATCTTATATATCCTTCCCCTTACATGTTGACCATGATCACATCTAATAGTCTGTTTTTCAGGAAAACAGCATATAAAATATATCTAGATTAAATTCTTTGCTTGAGAAACAATGGGATAGCATGACAGCATCTTTAAATTCTCTATTAAAATCCTCCTAAATGATTTTGCAACTGGTATCTACACCTGCCAAGCAAAAATACTTTCCAAAGGATATACAACTAAGATGCAAATTATAAAGGAATAGCCAAATAACTGAACCACTACCACCTAAGCCCTCTACAAATGCAAAACATTAAAAATTAATATAGACATATAACTATACAAAAATATGTACTGCTTTGATCTTTTAAGTCACAAACTAAAATGCAGAAAAAACTGACCTCCAGGTCCTCCTCCATACCCATTATAGCCATCCCCAAATCCACGACCACTTCCATATCCATCTGTTAAGAGACAGGAAAAAGAATTATTATACGCTGTTCGCCCTAGTTACAATTTCTTCCCTCCGCATTCTTTATTAGCATGTCTGAGTGAAGATTATTAGGGACCACCCTCCTTGTGCTAGAAGAGTGGTGTTTTGTATTTTAAGAAGAAATAAGTAACACCACTCTTACTTATTTCTTCTTAAAATACAGAAGTGTATATAATTAAATCTTTTAAGGATAATTGTCTAATTTGAGGGCTTGGACTTGGCAAGACTCAATTTTAAGAGATTCCATTTATTTATGCGTAAGAATGACACTGAAAGGGGCAGCAGGTTTCTCTGTTGGCACCTCATTACATTAGTAATTCAAATATATCTGAAGCCTAAAGGAAAAATATTTAACTGATACAGACCTCTTAGAGCCTATACATAAAGCCTCCACAATATCTTCACTTCCCATTGAGGGGCAACACTCATTTAGGCTAGTTGCAATTGATGTAACTTTTTTTTTTTTAAAGCTGACTACCCTAAAAAAGGAACTCTGCAACTGATTATCTTGAATTACAATTTATAAGATGTTTTTAACTATAACTTCCGACCTGGCTAATTTAGAATATCCCACCAAGATACAATCTGCCTAAGTCTTAAAATAACTTAAAAAAATTAAGATTGGATTTCCTAAATCTAATTCAAACAGTTTTTATTTGAGCACATGCACCCTTCTAACACTAAGAACTCCCAACTTACCAGATCCTCCTCTAAAGTTACTTCCTGGTCCTGGTCCAAAATTTCCACCACCACCACGAGAATCTCCAAAACCAAAGTTGCCTGTAGTAAATGCCCAGGTTAGTAACGAGCATTTATTCGAATAAGTTTTAAAAAGAAAAACAGAAGTTAAAAGTTACCTCCTCTCCCACTTCTAGAACTTTGGACTTCCTGCATTTCTTGTCTAGACAAAGCCTTTCTTACTTCTGCATTATGACCATTGATGGTATGATATTTCTGCACTGCAATGAAAAGTTCACACTCCATTATATCAACATTATCAGTAAGCAACTTCTACAACCTTTTTAATAAAATCAACAAACCCAAAACCTTATAAAAAACCACACACCTACTGCTTATAGACACTTACACACAATCTTATCCACAGGGTCATGATCATCAAAGGTAACAAATCCAAAGCCTCTTTTCTTTCCAGACTGCCTATCGGTAATTATCTCAATGGTATCAATCTTTCCATATTCCTCAAAGTAATCTCTAAGATGATGTTCTTCAGTATCTTCTTTAATTCCACCAACAAACAGCTTCTTCACAGTTACGTGAGCCCCTGGTTTTCCAGATTCCTGAAATAATGGGAGAAAAAAATCTTAACAGAAGAAACCAAAACATGATTTAAAGCACATTATCTGGGTACAAAGATAGCTTTTATCCTCTAACGCCATCAGGTAAAGCATCAGCTTACGACTAAGAACCCAGTTTTTCAAAGATGTAAATCTAAAAAAAGCAAAGAATACAAAACTAACGGCTTTAAAAAGATAGGAAACTGAATTCTTTCAAATGTTAGTCTAATCTTCAGTGGGACAGAATATTCTTCATATTTATTGTACACTTATATTTGCTCACCTCTCTTGCAACAGCACGTTTTGGCTCAACCACTCTCCCATCAATTGAATGAGGTCTTGCAGCCATGGCAGCATCAACCTCAGCCATGGATGAAAAAGTTACAAAACCAAATCCTCTTGATCTTTTGCTTGCAGGATCCCTCATAACCTTAAAACCAAAGGGGAAACTTTAGCCCCTCATTTCATTACTTATGTTATGAACTAGCAATTTAAAAGACTAGCAGTTCTCACAATGAACACAGACATTAAAATAATTTTCTCCATTATTTTACTCAACATCTTAAACACAGTAGCCCAACAGTTGAAAGACTAGTTATCTGTAGGCACTTTTATGTAACATACCACACAGTCTGTAAGTTTTCCCCATTGCTCGTAGTAGTTCCTCAAACTTTCTTCTGTGGTTTCAAAGCTCAAGCCACCAATAAAGAGTTTACGGAACTGTTCCTTTTCTCTCTGCAAAGGAAAACACCATTTCAATTTTTATTTACATTTCCTCTTTGTATGCAGGAAATTAAATTCTTAAATATGAGGTGACCTGCTGGCAGAGTACCTTTTTCCTCTCCAAAGGAACAGTTTCTAAAGTTTTCTGGGGGGAAAAAAAAAACTTACATCAAATTTAAACCATATGTTAAACTGCAAATTAGTTGTGTTATACCAAAAAAATTGCCCCAGCTCATCTACACAAGTTTCAAAGTCATTAATGCATGATCTAAATTTACTTGACATTAAATTATTTTGAATAAATTTAACATCCCTTTATCTTAAAACTTTATGAAGAGAAAGGAATAAACCTATTCTTTGGTCATTGAAGGCTTAAAGGACTTTTGTCAAAATTTGCATTCAATCCTTTGCCCGAAACAAAGTAACTTGCTTTTAAATACACATTGTAAATACACCGCTTTTTAACATAAAAACTGTTCGTTCTTTACTTATAACCCATAATTTACCATTTCATGATTCAGTGTCTAAAACAGTGACATCTTTTCTCTTTACTGCTCCCTCTGGTGGTGATTCTAATGTATCTCAATAAAAAAAAAAAACCCACTAAGAAAAAAATCATTCTTTCCCCATACACCAACTCTCCATGGGGGGTGGGGGGAGACTTAAAACATTCAATGCATAATACCAAAATATCCTTATAAAATCTGCCTCTTTCCTTTGACCCAGGCACAAATGACTTTTATTACCAACGGTGGGTATTTAGAGCTTCAACAGTTTTTAACATACCTGGTTTTTTTGAGGGCACACTTATATTGGTATTTATAGAACAATCTGAATTATTACTGAACCATAAATGCAGTAAAATATTTGCTATAATCTCACTTTTCAAAAACCGTAAAACTTTAAATGATCACTGTTAACTACTCAGCATTTTGTACTGCTACAATTTACACTACATCGAAGAAAAAAAATCACCCACAAAAACTCAGGTGGCACTGGCCTTAATGGCCACCTGGCAAAATACACAACACAAAATGTCTCTAATTTTACGCGGGGAAGTTGGGGACCTGGGCTGAAAAATTTTAAGCCCTATAAACCACCAAGCAAGTATTTTGCATTAACAGCCCTGTATTTTCGGCTGTCAGTCAAGAAAAAAACAGGTTATACTTTGTTTTCAGAGAACTAAGTTAAAAAAAATTAAAATACTCAGAAACCAGAATCGATCATAATGTCCAAGGGCAACTACTATGAGTGTATAATACAAATCAAAGCTCAAATATAATTTTCCATATAACACGAAATACTTCATAAGCAAATAATATTACAGCTAACTCAGTTCTATGGAGGTTTCTTTCTCCATACATGAAATTTCCGAACAGCTCAAAAAACAGTGATAAGCATTTAGATTTTTTCCCTGCACAGTTCTCAGAATTGTGAAAAATTTTCAAAGGTCAAAAAACTATCAAGCTCTTAAAACATTCAAATAACTCGTTATACGATTACTTGACATACTGGTATTTAAATTAAGCTTTAGCGTTAAGTCGGTCTTTCACAATCCACATTACGCAGTTAAAAAAAATCATTTACAATAATTTTTACACATCACTAACAAAAGGCAAAAACTCATTACTTACCTCAATTTTTTTCCAAACTTACCCGATGTCCACTATCGATTACAAACAAAGTTATTTTAAAAGTGTGCTTAAGGTCAAAGAAAGTACCCAATCAGGCCCCCTTCGCTTGAGACCTTATTCTTATCAATGTAATGATCAACCATCATAGCAAACAGAGATGAGAAAAGCAAATGACAAAGTTCAAATACATAGTGGCCCAGCCGTTACTCGTAACGAAGCAATGCACCACGTTTTAAGCAAAGAGCTAAAGATAAAATCATTTTTCATTTTCCTCTTTATTTCTACCGTATCGCAAGAACCTCTGTTGTCACCCAGTAAAGATTGTTTCCCAGCAAAAATATTGAAGTATGAATTCTACAGTTCAAAAGAAATCCTTCAGGAAAGTAAAGAATTGTGAAACCGACATCCCCCCCCCAACCACCTTCCCACTGCCACCCACAGTCGGTACTAACTTAATGGCTCCGAATTTTTATTTCTAAAGTTTCCCGCGATTCAACTAGCTTTTTTAATCACCGCAGGCCCAGATAAAACCGTTACTCAAAAAAACCCACGAAACTGAAAAACAAAATGTTCTTAGTACGGCTCGACTTAAAACTGGGCCCGACACCCTGGGTGGTAGTTTTACCTCCTCCTCTTAAACCGTGCGAACCAGCCCCGGGGAACCGACTCCCCCACCCGCCCGCTCTACGGTGTGGCTTCTGAACGCAATGGCGCCATTTCATCGAGGGAAAAGGAAAGAGCCTCTAACGAGGTGCGCAGGACTTTTAAACATCCAAGCTCACAAAACACTCGGAATCCACCTCGAAACGGCATGAAAACAGCCCGAAAAGAAAGAAAAATAGTTAACCACTTCTATTCTTCGATAAAGTAATCAAACTAGCAGAATCCAGAGATTGAAAAGAAAAACGCTGCGAGGAAGGAAAGGAATGAAAATGGCGGCCGCCAAATCCGGTTCCCGGGAGAGGGGAGGGGGGAGGGGAAACTCCGCAGCCTCGCTCAGGAGGATCCGAAGCCCGCCGAAAAGCTCAGAAGCGGGGACGCCAGAGCCCCCAAATCAGCGTGCTTTGAAGAGGGAGTAAGAATTCCCGCCTCCGCGCCCCACTTTTCGCCGAACGAGGGCTGCATCCGCCATGTGGAAGTTCCCCATCCCCCACCCCCAGCAAAGGGAAATGGCGCCGGCAGGCTGAGGGTGGGGAAGGTACTTTTCAATCAGGCCTCGGCTAACGAACCCTCTTCAAAAATATCCTGAAACCAACCGCTTTTGAAGTGGCCCAATTTCACCGCCGCTCTCAGACGGAGGCGGGTGGCCGACTTCCACCGAGGCGCCAACGGCCTCGCCATGCCCTTTTCAATAACTCATTGATTTCAAACCCGTTACCTCCATCGCGGACTCAGTCGCTTCAGCCCGATTTCCCGCAGCCGAGCGAGATGAGAGAGATCTCCGCGGACGAACACGAACCGGACTCGTCCTGGCGCTGTAGTGAGAACTGCCGCTGCTCGAGAAACAACACCGCTAAGAGCACCTCCACACGGGACCCGGCGCTGCTGCTACTGCCGCTAGAGCCGCTGCCGCCGCTTTTCTAGAACCTTCCCCCCGACTAACGCGTCTTCCCCTACGTCAAGCCGTTGCGTAAACGCCCTAACCGCCGCCAATGGCGGGAACGCTCTACGCCCTCCTTACGCCAGGTACGTACTCCTCCCTCCCCTTGCAGCCAGTAGTAGTGCTTGACGTCACTTGCGTAACTGGTCTCAGTGAATTGCGGAAGGCTCGAGTCCTGCGTATTTCTCTCTCACGGAATTGGGTCCAGCCCCCGCCTTAGCGCAGGGCAGGTGAGAAACGGTCGCGCAGTTTGAAATTAACGCTGTCGGGAGGAGCTTAAAGCACAGCCCTAAAGTCCAGCCCCCTCAACCCGGGAGGTGGTCCCTGCAGCAAAGCCTGTGATAATCCGCGCCTCCCCCCCGCCCCCGCCTCCGAGCTCCCGCCAGAATAATCTTTGTAACCTCCCCCTTGCGATTTCCCTCTCCTAATTCTCCCCCCAGCGCTGAGGACTGACTCGGCCCCTTCCGGAAACACCCGAAGCGATTTCCAGTCAACACGTTACACTTCACGCTCCACCAACCTAACCCTGGCCAACGTCTTTGGGAGTCGACCCCTTGGGTTCAAGAGAGGTCTTTGGAGAGGGTGGTCTGGGAGGGGCACTTCTTCTTAGCTCCCAATTCTCCCCATCCGAGTTTCTCTTTACTCCCTCACCCCTAGCGTTTGGAGGCACCCACTTATAGGGGCGAGGAAGTGGGCGGAGCCCGGTTTTGGCGCCAGACGCGGCTGCTGCGAAGCAGAAACGCCTCCGTCTAGAAGATCGGTTACTGTCCTCGCCTCAACTTCCCTCTCCCTCCCCTCCGGGGACCACCAGGCCCCACGCCGCGAACGGTGAGTGCAGCGACGCCGCAGCCTTCCACCTGCCCCGGGCTCGGGTTCCCGGCGGGCGCGGCGCTCGGCCCCTCCCCCCGCCGGGCGCGCGCCCGCCCGCCCCGCCCCGCCCCTCGCGGCCGCCCGGCGTGGGCGGTGCCACCCCCACCCCCACCCCCCCTCGAGCTGCTGCCCGGCGCGCAGCTCCCCAGCCCCCTCCTTCTCGGATGTGGCTGGAGCTTGAGGCGCGCAGGGCCGGAGACGCCGCAGACCCGGGACCCGGAGCAGCTCGGAGGCGGTGAAGTCGGTGTCTTTCTTTCTCTCTCTTTCTCTACTCGGTGGTGGTGCTTAAAATACCACCTGCGCCCCAGGGATACCCCCACCCAGTTCCCTGCTTCCCGCCCTTCCCCGCCCGACCCCGAGTGGGGAGCAGGCGGGAAGCAGCGGAGAGTCGAGCGGAGACCCCGCGGCTGGCCTGGCGCTGGGCCGGCGCCTGGAGTTAGTTGTGGGGGAGGGGGAGAACGAGACTGTTCTCGAGAGGGTAGAGAGCCGTGGCGACAGCCGCCTGATTTCTAGACAAAGCGCATTTCCTTTTCCCCTCCCCCATCCGCGATCAAGATGAGGGGCCCTCCTCCCCCTCACGGCCTCGGTCGGCGACTTGGGCCTCCAGTGAGGGCGGTGCGTTCTCCCGCATCAGCGCGGCCCGCTGTTCCGAGGCTGCGGCGGGCGCTCCGTTACGTGGCTACCGCCGGGTGGGGGACAACGCGGGCCCGGTGGTGCAGTGCCCTTGAGCCCCCGGGCCGCGGCCTTTGTTTCTCCCGGCGGATGGGCTGACCACGAGGCCCGCGCTCCTGGGTGGGGGGCGGGGGCCGGGTGTTCAGGCCTCGCTAAGCAGGGTGGGGCTTACGGGGAACGGATAGAAGAGGTGGTTTGTTTTTTTAAAAGTGGTACGAAATGGGACTGAAGCATCTCGATACGGTTTTTTTCCTTTTTCAGTTTTTAAACTAGTGATTAGAAAGGGGGAGGGTTTCCAAGAAACCAAGTTGGGGTTTTATAGGCGCCTCTTTGGACTGTTAAAAGGTCTAGAGGGGAAATTGACGATAATATACCGTTGTGATTGGGTGATCACGTCGACTTTGAACCAAATTATCTGGCCATTTTCTTAAAAATGCTGGGTATGACATAAACGGGACTTATATTGAAAAAAATTTTTGCTATTTTTTCCTTTGTAAAACTGTCTCAGATACCAGCGTACCCAGTAAGGTTTTCTAGACCCACTTGGTTAGAGCACTGATGTATTCAGCAAACATAGATCACTGATAACGCAGGATCTCAAATCTGCATCTCTGGATTTGAGTACAAGTTTTACAATATACGATACATAGTGGGGGTTGGAATCCAAACAGAACTTGTGTTTAGCTACCTTTTTTGTGTCGTGCAAACTTCTTTTTAACTGTCATGCATTTTTCTAGTAATAGCTCTTCAAGTCTGCAATAAAAAATGGCCTCCAATAAAACTACATTGGTAAGTTCATGAAAACCTAAAATTTGTAAGGATCTAACTCAAATTTTTTCCCCAAAATTATAAGTTTGCATCTCTGTGGTTGAGATATTTACATCCACATGTATTTCCCAGTTCCCTCCTCCCCCCCCCCCCCCCCCCGCAGTGTTGTAATGGGGAGAAATAGAGGCAAAAACGAAATCATTACATTGAGATACTTATTGACCTGGCTGAATAGTGTCTTAATCCATTTAGAGAAACCTAATCTTGGCAGGATAGTACAATGAATTTTACAGAGTATTTTTATCTTGAAATAAAAATAAACTTTCGCAACATGAATTTTTACAAGCATAAACACAATGCTGTAACGCCCTTGCTCATTGGCGTAACAGTCCCTAAGTCACCCTGTAATGAATTCTAGAGAATCCAGGTATTTTCAGTATTGCTCAGTTTAAAGAACCTAGATTGGGACAAAGGTCATTCAGTTACTTTGCTCATGTTGTCCTATTTGGAATTTGATTATTCTAAAATACATAAAGGTCTTAAATTCAAATCATTGCCATGGTTTTTTTTTAATACCAAATAAAATCATACATATGTCCAAGAAGGGCAGAAGAGTAGATTTGGATCTTGCGAGCAATTACATTTTTTCTCTCCACTGTCTTAAAGCCTAAGTTTGCATTCTTAAACTTGATTAAAAGTTCTGTGAATGTGTAAAGACATACATATGTTCAGCCATATCAAGTTACAGATTTTTTGAAAACACTGACATATTCACATAAAAATAGTGAAATTCAAAGTTAGTGGTTCTCACAGTAATTCTAATATATTTCATCCATAATTGGAATTGTATTAAAGGTCAGTGTTAACATCTAAATAAAGCAAAACATTGGTTTTTGGTTTGTATATTCTCCCCTTGGGTTTCATACTAAAAAGGCAAGTTTGGTTTTTAATCTTTGCCATCAAGAGGTTGCACGTTTAACTCCTATTCTGGGAAACGTTGAAATAAATACAAATTCTGTGGCACAAATGATTCCCATCAAAACCGTCAATGGAAAAAAACACAAAGCATCTTCTATGCCCCCTCAGGATTGAACTGTCCTTCAAATTCCATAAGTGGTAGACCAAAGTGTAGATAATTGAATTGACTGTATGACTTGTGACCTTCAGGTACTGGAAAGAGAAGGAACTAGCTGTCCCTGGGACTTTGAGGATGAATAGAGATACAGGAAGCAAACATAGATGCTTCTGTTGCTTTGGCACACAGTTTTGAGAGTCTTCAGTGTCCATAACTAAATGATACTTAATTATCTTACTCTTTGCTAAAGGATCATAAATTGACAACTTTGAAAGTTTTTCTTAATCTTCTAAGAGATGAGGTTTGTTAGTTTAGGTGGGAAAGTGGGTGAGTTTTCTTCTGAAAAGAAAAAGGTGAACACTTACTTGTAACCAGCTTGTGAGTGCCATAGTATTAGTGTTTATTCTTTTCACTTTGTGTTTATTTTTGTTATCCTCTTTATTCTGTTAATCTCTTACTTTCATGAACATAGCTGATTTGTTTATCATTTAGGATCAGTATCCTTTTGCATGCTTGAGGCACTGCTGCTGTTACTTTTCTGCTTGTATGCTATGTGGAGAGGTGACTTTAATGACTAGGCAGTTAAGTTTTTTTTTTTAATAGCACCACTGAAATTATTTTAAAATTAACATAACATTTGAGATTTTCCCCGCTTCGTCTCTTCTAATTAACCATTTCAGTTTTTTGTTTTATCTGCTTTCAGTCTTCATAACATGAGTTATTGGAAAATAGTGGTTTTAGTTTGGTCTTTTGGCTTTTCTTATAGTGTTAACACAAAAAAGAAAATACTAATCTAAAAATTTGTTTAAGGTGAGTTTCGTTGGCTACCATTTTAACACTTGAGAAACCAAGAAAGAAGGATTTTCACATTAGAGAATTATTTTGACTTCTTCAAGTGACCACGTAACTTTGTTCTGTGTGATCTGTAATATTATATACAGAAATTATGGAACAGTAATAGTGTCCTTTTTAACCTATTCATGGTCTTAGTTGACTCTACAATTGATCTCAGGATTCTGAACCATGTTTTCATTCTGCACTTACCTCTTTCTGTATAATTGAGACTTTTAACATTGGTGTTTATATTGAGAAAGAGTTGTTAGTGTTTGGGGGCTGTAGTTTTTAAATGGGACTATGGTTCACTTAATAAGGTCTCATTAGTATTTACTTCTTTGTATCATCTTCTAATACTTTGTAGTTGTTTGTTGCTGTGTTGTAGTTAAAAAGAGTACAAACTCTAGTAAACTTGGTCTTGTAAACTAGGTAAGACATTAGATTTAGAAAAGATAAGAATATTTTCCAGATAGTGTTTTTGATTGTATTATTTCAACTGAAAGGGGTGGGTGATAGGTTTGAGATAAAAGGGAATTAAGTATTCTTTTTGATTATCTGTTGACTTTTATCTTTTCAGAACGTGTCTGCCCTGGGATATAGAAGTAAAAATATAGGTGTCAGATGCAACGATAATATGAATATTAGCCTTTAAAATGTACTCAAAAGTGAAAAAAGAAAAGTTTCTTAAATGTCTCTTTTGTTTTATTTTAGCAAAAAATGGGAAAGAAACAAAATGGAAAGAGTAAAAAAGTAGAAGAGGCAGAGCCTGAAGAATTTGTGGTGGAAAAAGTACTGGACCGACGTGTAGTGAATGGGAAGGTGGAGTATTTCCTGAAGTGGAAGGGATTTACAGAGTAAGGAATCTGGTGCTTCTGTTATATGTTTAACTGCACCTAAGTGACATTTAAAATTTGCTTTTAGTCTGGGGTTTTTAAAATCCGTTTCCCCATACATTTCTCTTCATTTAAAGACACCTTTATTCCAGGGTACTTTGAGACCTGTTTAAAAAGAGTCCTGTCTTTAGCCTACAGTTGTAACCAAGCACATTTGAAATTAGTTGATTGACTTGGAGAGTCAAATTTATAGGCATACAGTTTATTGTGTAATGCATTTTAATGTGGTTAGATACTGTACTAATTAAAGTATCTAATTGACATTGTTTTCTTATATACAAAGAACACTAAAAGTATTGAAGCTATATAAGGTAGACTGGTGGGTGTTGAACAGAAGTGCTTATCATCCAGGACCTCTAGGATGCACTAGGTTTACTGTATCCTAATCTCTTAAGAAGTGGTGTGGGCATTTTTTAAGCTCCTTAGTTCTTTATGTTCCTTGTTACTAATTGCTCTCATAATTTTTATAATGTTAGCTGTATTGCAAATAACTCATGCAGGAATTCCAGTCTTATATTTAACATTTATCATGTGCTAAATCTGCCTTATACCACAAAAACAGCAAGGCTCTGTTGTCAATGACTTACTGAAAATGGATAGGTAGAGATAGACAACAGTTTTCTGAGTTTGGTGGAGATGGGGGAGGGTTCTGGTCAAATAATTAGGCTTCGGAATATCTGTTACCTACTACTTGCCCCACCATAGCAATTTGGGAATTACAAGTTGAGTGGAAGATTTAAGGTTCTTTATTTTATCCTTCTAGTATCCTTAGTTGAGCTTAAGTATATAGTATAAGTTCATAATTTGCCACTAGAAAAATTTCCTTACAGATAGCAGAACAAAGCAAAATAAGTCTGAACTATTTTAAAGTTAGATGTAACCAGTATGCCAAAGAATTGATCACCTTCATGTGATAGGTTTTTTGTTGTTTGTTTTGAAATCTCATGAGACATTAAATGCTGTTTGTCTCTGTCCAGTCCATCAAAATGTTAAGAGACTTAACTCCTTTTCTCCCTCTTTCTCTCAAACTTAAGGCCATTAGTATGGCTGAGAACCTACTATGTGCAGTACAATGTATTAGGTAATACAGAAGTCTGTAATTAAAGTAACACTACAAAATGGAAGCTCTGCTTCAACTCTTTAGTCCTCCTCTATCCTCTGATTCAAGTTTGCCAGTTTTAGCATCTCAGGATATCAGAAGACCCCAAGTTGTAAATAGTGCCTTTCTTTTCTATCACTCTAAAATGATTAATTTCATTCTATCTTGTTCTTTAAAGGCTTTTTGGATCAGAGTGCACAAAGTTAACAAGCCTATAGGGCACCTGGCTGGCTTTGTTAGTAAAGCATGTGGTTCTTTGATCTTGGGGGTCATGAGTTTGAGCTCCACATTGGGCGTAGAGTCTTAAAAAAAAAAGTTAGCAAGCGTATCACTAGTGTAGGATTATCTAACATTCACGTTTGGTAATTGATATTCATTTTCTTTCCAGTCCTTCTGAAAAACACATGAAAGTAGTCATTTTGGCATCATATCAGGGATTGCCAAACTTTTCCCTTAAAGAATCATGTAGTAAATAAATAATTTAGGCTTTGTGGGCTGTAGACCTCTCACAATTACTCAACTTTGCAAATATAGTACAAAAGCAGCCGTAGACACTACGTTAAACAAAGGAGCATGGCTGTGTTCTAATGAATGGGCCCTCATTTCCTATAATTGTCATTTTGAAATTTTTTCCCAATTAAAAATGTGAAAAACATTTTTAGTTGGACCAACATACAAAAGCTGGGTTTGACCTTTGGGTTGCCAACCCCTGCTTTTTATCATTGCCTAATCTGAGCACCCAGCAGAAGTTGAAAATACTGCCTCACATATAGCATGCCTTAGAATTTTTGTGTTTTCAAATGTGGTGTTGAAGGTCCCAACTAGAGACATAGTCTGACTGATCTGATAAAGTAATTTGGGGTGGGAATAGGGAATCCTTATTTTTAAAAAGCCTTTGCAGAGAGATTCTGAAGTGGGTTGTCTGTGTAACTGGGGAAAATATTAGTTCCAATTATTCTGCCAGAAGCAGGTGTGTTAACTTGGAGGTAATACAGCAGACTGCGCACTTACTAGAGGCTAAGAAAATAGACACAGGAAGTATAAGCAGATTTTATCAAAAGAATGGGGATAGGGAGAAAAAGGTAAGCATCTGCAGTACAGCAGACTTTTTTTAGATACATGTTAAATGAATGTAGATGATGGTGATGAATCATATTTAATTGATTTTTTTTTTTTTAACCGAACCCAGTGCTGACAATACTTGGGAACCTGAAGAAAATTTAGATTGTCCAGAGTTAATTGAAGCATTTCTTAATTCTCAAAAAGCTGGTAAAGAAAAAGATGGTACAAAAAGAAAATCTTTATCTGACAGTGAATCTGATGATAGCAAATCAAAGAAGAAAAGAGACGCTGTAAGTATAAAATATTGCCCAGCAGACTGACTTGGTAAAAGGTTGATGGCTTGATTTTTAAAATACACTAAAGATACTTTTAAGAATTCAAATACTTTTTAATGCTTAATATTCAGGACAGAAAGGATAGGCATGATTTAGCCTGCATCATATAAATGTTCAGTAGTAAGTGCTTATACAACTCACATTGTTGTGCTAGTGTTATTTTGAGTAGAGTCGTGGAGTTGATCCCTGATAAGGTCCATTTCCTGTGATCCAGGACTGGCAGTCTTAAATACAGTGAACACAAAGATTAGATCATTGCAATCCTTTACAATACAGTACAAACAATCCACAAAGCACATTCTGATTATAGACCATTGGTGGCACTGACCACCAGCATGTACTTTCACATGTGATCTTTGTTTTGTCAGAATATTGCCAAGCAACATTTTGATTTTGAAGTATATAATCTTCGGTAATAGAATTTTTTTAATATTTTTTGGTGTGAATTGAGACAGCTGGTTCATTAACTACATGGGTATTTTGACCCAGTCTTTGCTTCACTAATGTGTCCGTGGCTTTGGGCAAAACATACAACTACTTGCTTATACCTTCAGCTCCAAAACAGATTGTCCTATTTACCATGCCTGCTGGCAATTTGGGAAAAGGTCTTGATTCTGAATTAGCATTTAGGCTTGGGAACTAACATTGATAAGGTCTTTGGATTTAAAATTTGATCATCTGAATTAGATGCCAAGTAGTTTACAGATAACCTGTTAAATCTTCATGGCAGGTCTGCTAAGATTATAGGTATTATCCCCATTTTCCAGATGAGAAGCAGAGGTTGACTACAAATTTGGTTCTGGATGCTTTAGCAGCCAAAGCAAAAAGGTAACAATGTTAAGAATCCATATGCATTAATTGAAAGTCAACCGTATATTCAGCATAAGCACTGTTTAGTAACAGTAGTTATCCTACACTGAGCTCTTAGAATGTGCCCAGCAGTGTTCTACATAACTTAATTTGCATTTTTTATACTATAAAACGTCCATGAGACAGATAGTATTATCATTCCTGTTTTATAGGGTAATGAACCTGAACAACAGAGAGGTTAACTTGCCCAAAGCCACACAGTAAAGGTTAGAGTCGTCATTCTAACTAACCCAGGTAGTCTGACTCCAGAACCTGGGATATTGATACAAAAGTCTGGTAGGGAGAAGGGATTTCTTAATCTAAGCAGTTCTCAAACTCTTTTGGTCTCAGAACCCCTTTAATACTCTAGAATATTGAGAATCTCGGAGAACTTTTATTTATATGTGTTACGACCATCAATCCTAATTATATCAGAAATTAAAACAAAGTTCTAAGACATTTGTGTATTCAGTTAAGAAAGACAAAACCTATTGCATGTTCATAACTTACGAAAAATAACTTTAAATGAGAAGTGGCATTTTACAGTTTTGCAAATCTTTTCAGTGTCTAGCTTAAGACAGTTCTGCATTTGATTTGCTGTCTTAATGTTGTTTGGTAGAGGCATATGAAGATATTCTGAAGTCAAAGATAAATGAAAGAAGGGGACCTTGCAAGATAAACAGACACCCACTAAAGGTCTCAGGGATCCCCAGGGATCCTGAGACCACACTCTTAGAACCATTGGTTTATGCTAAGTATTTTTTAAGGTTTCCTACAAGGCAGATCGCTTACAATACTGATCAGTCTGAGTTTCAGAGTTTTTACTATTTGGCTATTTGTATTTTGTGTGTACTTTAAAAATTTGTGGGTAATTTAGACTAATTCCTAAAAGTGATTTGAAATACTAACTTTAAAGAATTTATAATTATTGATGAGTTAGCAGAAATCAAGGGATTAATTTGTGTGCCTACACAGTTCTGTCTTCTAATGTGTTAGGATAAAGAAAGGTATTTATTTTCTTGCCTTGGAATTCAGAATACTTTTAGATACCTGGATTTGTTTTTTCTTGGAAGGTTAATGGAAATTACAATGTGTTTTAGTACTAAATAAGAGTTCTTTCTCCTGTCATTTCTTTTTCACTTTCATTTGAAAGCTATATTTCATGAAAACAAATTGGAAGTTAGTATTACTAGTTTGCAATATGGAAAGTTGGTGAAACATTTATGTGAAGAGTCATTTAACATCTTTTAATCAGGCTGATAAACCAAGAGGCTTTGCCAGAGGTCTTGATCCTGAACGAATAATTGGTGCCACAGACAGCAGTGGAGAATTAATGTTTCTCATGAAATGGTGAGTGTGCAGATGATTGCTATTCTATTTTAAAGTAAGAGTAGATTTTTTTTTTTAATTTGTGAAGCCTTACCTAGAAAAGGTTTTATAGTTTTCATCATTAGATAGTATCTGCTGAAAGGATGATTCTAGGATTTTTGTAGTTTGGGGGTCTTTGGTTTTGTTCTGTTTTTTTGCTAATGGTGTTTTAAAGCAAAGATTAGCCTGTTTGGGAAAATGTAGTTTTATTGGAACACAGCCACAAGTATCTGCTTCTGAAGCACTTCAGTATCTTTTGATTGAATTATGACTTAAGTGAAAGATTCAGTTGGCAAAAACAGTTGAGACTTTTGACTGAACCTTTTTTTCCTCACAACAGGAAAGATTCAGATGAGGCAGACTTGGTGCTGGCAAAAGAGGCAAATATGAAGTGTCCTCAGATTGTAATTGCTTTTTATGAAGAGAGACTAACTTGGCATTCTTGTCCAGAAGATGAAGCTCAATAATTGTTTGCATTGCTTTTTATATATATTTATATATATATATAAAATCTGGGTCTTTGTTTTTTGATTTATTAGTGTGAAGAAATAACATTCTAATGAAAATCACGTTTGATACGTTTGTTTTGAAGTAGTATTGGGGGAGTTGTTGGGGTTTTTTTGCATCTATAGCACTGGTTACTTTGAACAAATAAAAGCTTTCTGTAGTTGCTTCCTTTATCAGAAAAAAATATTTGAGACCATGGTATATTATCCCCCTGCATTAGAGAACACCTTTTCTAAATGTTGGGGGAAATTTCATAGTCGTTACTCAGTCAGAATTTGTGTTTAACTCCTATATGCCTGAGGACCATTCTGGGTCTTTTGTTTATTTAGGGGGTTTTTGTGTGTATACTTAAAATACATACATAAATGGTTTTTGTTTTTTTAACATTCACCAAAACAAAAACAGCATTTATAACCATGGATAAGCCCATGTTTCTGGGATGCTATCATTTTCAGCAACTTAAGAAATCACTTAAACAAGTTTTTCCTGAAGCCTTAACCTTTCAAATTTTTAAATTGGACAATTTAAAAGCAGCAATATCTGAATCCATATTCATATCTACAGTCATAAATGCAAGTTCATTTGCAAGTTCCCTAAAAGGAAAATTTTATCACCACCAACAACCTCCCCACCCAAATGACAAAACTAGACAAGTCCTGGTGTGTTTTAATTAGGTAAGCAAAACTTAGTTAAATGGACATTTAAAGGTTCCTTCTAGTGAACCATTCCTTTTCAAGAAGTTGAAATCTCTGTGCTGTATTGACTAAAAGGTCATGATTCATGGAATGTCTAAGACTTTGTTCATGGAAACCTAATCATAATCAGATGGTTAGAGATGTTAGCAATTTAGCTCCTGCTGGAATAAATGGGTGGACAGACTTTTATAATCCAAATTCTTAACCTGCATGTATTTTCTTTATCCCAACTCGTTCCTGACATGTAGGCTCAGTCTTCTCAGTATTTGAGTTACTGGTTCAGCAGAAACCAGGAAAAACAATAACTTTGTAGTCAGAATGTTATCCAACTGTATATTGTTTACTTTATTGTAAATACTGGTAAACAGTGGTCAATAAATAGTTTTATATTCCTTTATGTGATTAGACTTTTTTTTATCTGATTGTCTTTCTAGTGGAAGTAGAAACATAACCTTAGAATCCTCTTCGTGTTTATAAATAACACTAAAGCATTAGAGTACATGTCTTTGATCTTTTGAGCTGAGGAGTTTCAAACTTACTAGAATATGTCTTTTTTTTTTTTTTTTTTTAAAGATTTTATTTATTTATTCATGAGAGATAGAGAGAGAGAGGCAGAGGCAGAGGGAGAAGCAGGCTCCCCGCGGAGCAGGGAGCCCGACGCGGGACTCGATCCCGGGACTCCAGGATCATGACCTGAGCCGAAGGCAGTCGCTTAACCAACTGAGCCACCCAGGCGCCCTAGAATATGTATTTCCACAAAAATGAAAATTGGTTTCTTGGGATGCCTAAGAGGAATCTGCTTCATTAAAATGAAATTTTGATACTTAGAATCTAGTTTGTTGAAACTTCTGTCTGAAAAACAGTTATAGGACTGATTCTGTTGTGATAGACACATTTCTACTAATTTTCAAAATCCATACAGAGAAAAGGAAATCATTTTGCAATATATAAATATTTAATCCTGTTGTACACCTGAAACTGATAGGTTACATGTTAATTTATACCTCAATTAAAAAAATTTTTTTTAATTCCTATCTATACTAAGCTATCTATTACTTATCTCTATATACCTAGCACTGCTCTCAACAATGGGTTCATATGTGGTACCAAACTCCCTGTTGATACCAGAAATTGGTGGCCTCCACATTAAACTTTAGTAAGGGCATTTCTGGAAACTATTGTCTACATACTACTTTTATTGCCCCTTATTATTATGTTGTATGTTTCTTATTGGTGCTGTAAAAAATTGCATCAAGCTTAATGGCTTAAAACAACATAAATTTATTACCAGTTCTGGAGGTCAGAACTCTTAATTTGTCTCACTGACCTGAAAAGGTATCAGCAGGGCTGATTCCTTCTCGAGACTCTGATGGCAAAATCTGTTTCCTTGTCTTCTTTTCAATAGCACAGCCAGCTGCTGTATTAATGATTCCCCAACTTAACCAACTGCCATAAGTAGGTTAGGTTATTTGTCATTTTTTACTATTAATGTAGCGAATGTTCTTACATATAATGTGTAGTGGCACTTAAGTAGATACAGATTCCCATGTACTACTGAAGTCAGGCTTGCAGTGATTTACTCTCCCCATTGGTCACCATTATCCTATATCCCCACTTGTACTATAAATTTAATAATACTGATCTTAACGGGGAGCCTGGGTGGCTCAGTCGTTAAGCGTCTGCCTTCAGCTCAGGTCATGATCTCAGGGTCCTGGGATCGAGCCCCGCATCGGGCTCCCCCACTCAGCGGGAAGCCTGCTTCTCCCTCTCCCACTCCCCCTGCTTGTGTTCCCTCTCTCGCTGTGTCTTGTTCTGTCAAATAAATAAAATCTTTTAAATAAATAATACTGATTTTTTTTTTTTTAGCCAGTCCGATGGTTTTGTGTTTTAATTTGGTATGTCTATGATCTTTTTTGAGCATTCTTTTAATGCTTAATGAATATTTCCATTTCCTTATCTATAAATTGCCAATTTTACAAAAATTTTTAATCGGTGCTTCTTCTTGTAGTGAGAATATTAACACCTAAGTTTTTTGTGTTGCAAATATTTTTTCCCATTGTCTATATTTTGACATGATTTATTGTACCTTTTTAAAAATTTTTATGTGGTCAACTCTTGTCAGTTTTTACACCTTCTGTTTTTCCTGTCATGTTTAAAAATATTTCTCCCATCCTGAAGTTGTATGGATAGTCTTAAATTTTCCTTATTTTCACTGTCATTTTTATAGTAGTCTCTAATCAGATTTTGTTAGATACTGTGATGAAGGCTTCTGATTTTTTTTTTTTTTTTACCCCAAGATGGACCTCAATTCCACTGAGGTAGTGAGATGTGTGGGTAACAAAGTTTGCCTAATCCTATGGATCAAAGAAAACCATATGCCACTATAAAAATGTTGGTCAGCATTTAAGTTTTTCTTTCTCATAAAGGGCCTGAAATCTGTTCAGATACCTGGACAAGTATTGGTGTGGCAAGATCCCTGAGTTTTTAATACCATTGAGAACAGAAGGGAACACTTTGACCTGTAGCTTATTACCATTACCAATAGCTACTTTTAAAACCTCTGAAGTTTTAATTGATTTTTCACTACTCTTTCCCTTCTCTGTGCTTTGCTTTGTGTTTGAAAACAAATTATATATCTCGTTCATAAGCCAGAAATCTGGTTCTTGGTTCTAACAGGACCTGATACTTGATACACTTAGGTGTTAATGTAGTAAACAACATGGATGGTAGTGAAAAGTAAGAAAATCGGTAAGGGGAAGTAGTCCTTTAGGGTAACTTAGTATACTATCTTCCTCTTCTTTCAAGTTTGAACCTTAATTAACTAGGCAATGAAGATATATGTTGAAAAGAAAAATATAAGGAAATCATGAGTCTGGGGCTTGATTATTATATTTTCCTTTTCTGTTTCACAAAGAACAACTCAAGTTTGTTTTGTCTTAAACACCCCACCCATAGGCTTATGTTGGCTACATTCCCTAGAAGGCTAATGAGAAGTGCTTAATTTTACTTTAAAATTCCTGTGTGTGTGTGTGTTTTAATGGAAAGGGCTGAATGGCTGTCTTAAATTATATTTGATTCTTACAGTATGCATTATTTTTATGTTTTATTAAACCAAAATTGGGTATCAAGCAAAAGAATCTAATATGAAGTGGAATATGAATAATATGTGTATTTGTATGTAACCTATAAGATATATCAACTCTTCTGATGAATAAATGAATTTGTACCTTTGAATATTCACTGAACAAGAGATATTTTAACAACTTCAAACTCTTAAAGTTGACTTGATATAATCAAGGAAGTTGATTCTGAATGTAGTATATAATGTGCTATACTTTTCAGAAACATGGCAATCCCTAACGTATCTGCTAATAGAGAATAATTAAGGAGGGGATTGAAGGTTGTTGGGTTTTGCGGGGGTGAGGTTTTGTGTGTGTGTGCTAAGAATTTATGTTGAAAAGTCACCTGGAGAAGTGCAAAAATATGAAATCGTATTCACCTGAAGACTCTTTCATTACAGTTAATGTTTTTGCTATAAAAGCAATGAAAATGTCCATGAGCACATATAAGAGTTTAGTTCCTAAAAGAAATACCTAACAGTTGTTGAATATTGTGCTGTTTTTCATACTTTTATCTTCCTCAAATGTCATGTGGGGTAGGTATGATTGACCCCATTTTACAGGTGAAGATACTAGGGCACAGAAAGGTTAAAGAAGGTTAAGACCATTTGTATGAATTAGGGCATTAGTTGTGGGAATAAAGAGAAGGGGGCTGATAGGAAGATCAGGTTTTGTCCATTTTAACTGCCAAATAATGTGTTTGTAGAATAAAGTGGTTTGGGATATAAGATGAGGTGATGTGGAGGTTGGGAAGAAAGGGATCCAGAGTGACTCCCAAGATTTCATTTCATCTTGTATGGATGAAAATGTCATTTAGTGAGAAAGGGAAGGGAAACAAGTTTGAGGAGGAAGATAGAGTGGCTTTGGACATACTTTCAGGTATTCCTTTGATTACTTTGATTAGTGTATTAGTATACCTACAATGCATACATATTACATAATTTGGCTGAAAGTGCAAGATACCCAACTCAAACTTGCTTTGATAAGGGAAATTGCTCACTGGCCTAGAGACCAAAGAATAATGTGGTTCATAGCACTGGTTCTGGAGTCTGACCCCATGGCTTTGAAACCCAGCTCAGTTACTTAGCCTTCAAGCTATGCCTCAGAATTCTCTATAAACCTGGGAGAACCTAATGGTATTTATCTCATGGGATTTTCAGGATTTAAATGAGAAACATGAAAAATACCTAGAGCTGAATGTCTAGTACTTAATAAGGACCAGTGAAGTCCGTGCCAGTCTCCACTGTACGCCTCAAGATCAATGGGCCCCTGGAGTGGTACAATCCCAAGACTCGCCATCTCTGGCTGTTGGCTCTCTCGAACCAGTCTGTACACATCAAAAACAAGTGCTGGCAGCACCCAAATGCCCAAGTCTGCCTCTAAAGTGGCACTGGGGTTTTCTCTTCGCTGTCCAAGAGTTCACAAGTTCTGATTGACCTGGCTTGGGTCAGATGCCCTCTCTGGAACTATCAAATAAAACCAGATGTGTGGAGAAATATGATTGGATCAATTGCCTGAAGAGTGCTTTCCAGAAAAAGGTGGATGCTTTATATAAACAAAATGTATAACTAAAGCAAAGAATTCAGCCAATTCGAAAGCACCTTCTTAAAATACCCTTTGTCCTTGCTTTTTAGAAAACTTCTCATGTGAATATTTTCAGTGGCCTAAAACATCGTAGAACTTCCTATCAACTCTTTCCTTTTTTACAAATAAGACTGAAATCTGCCCTTTTCCTTAAATTTGAGTGTTGGGGAAAAAATTGACTTAGAGCAGAACAAGAACATTGATATTTAAAGCTGCTCTTGTAGCTCCATGAAAGCATGGAGAATTTTCACTTTTTAAAAATGAAACCTTCTATCCTGATTCAAAAATTCTGCATATAGCTTCCTAAAGGAGGAAAAATAAGGACACTGAAACTAACATTAAGTGACCTTTCATAGCAACCTTTTTTCTTACATTTATTTCAATGTCTTTAAGGATCAAGCACAGTGCTGTCCACCAACTCCTACCTATTCCCCCTGATGCATTATTTGGATACTAACAACACCCTAATTTAATATCTGGAAGTGGTTGTTCTGGTATAATAAGCTGATATTTTTAGAGCTCCAAAGCCATTTTTGGGTGTCTCAAAGCTCTAATCCATTTTGATGAGCAGTAGGGGAGAAGTGGGAAGAGAAATGAGGGGCAGATATGCAGGAGGAAAGTCTAGACGAGAATGAGCATTGGGGAATTTGAGAATGAGATTAGTAAACCCAAGAAGATACATACTACGTTCAGGATCCAGGCCACCACTTAACAAGGATGAGATTAGTAAACCCAAGAAGATACATATTACATTCAGGATCCATGCCACCACTTAACAAGGCATGTTGGTAGTTCAGGAACTGAAACCTTTAGATAGATCCCAAGCTGGACTCCCTTTAAAGTGAATTCATTTCCAGCATAGTGTCACAATGAGGCTCCTGTTCTACTTTCTCACTCCTTGGGTCTCTGTTTCGCTCTCATGGATATCTGATACCTCTGCACTAGGAAAATTTTCTGAGTACAGTAATAGAAACTTACCTGATGTGCTGAAAGGGATAAAAGCTTGGACGTTTTGCAGTGGGAACGCTGGAGCTTTCTTGCAGTCTCAGAGCGGCAGCGCAAGGGGAAACCCCCTTTTACCCTGAAATCCCACTTGTTCTCCCCAGAAAGTCAGGCTCAGCAAGTTTCTAGCACCAGACATTACATCTACTAATCAGAGAGGATTCTTAAATTACACTGCACTCTTATTTTAGCATACACAGGATACTCAGCTCTCTGCAGGTGCTTGTTATGCAAATGAGGGCAGAGAAGGACTCAACCTTTGTTTTCTCCCTCTTCTAAAATGTAGGGGGCATTGGGGCAAGTATTTGTCTTTGTCACTAGTGTATCCCTGGCACCTAGAAGAGGGCAATGGAGGAAGGGAGGGCCCTGGATTTAAATTTGGGCTTTAATAATAGTGTTTCTACTCCAATAGGATCTGCCTAAAGAAGATCAAACCCCTTGGGGAGATGGGCACCTGGGTGTCTCAGTAAAGTGCCTGCCTTCAGCTCAGGTCATGATCTCAGAGTCGTGGGATAGAGTCCCACATCAGGCTCCCTGCTCAGCAGGGGACTTGCTTCTCCTTCTGCCTGCCACTCTGCCTATTTGTGCCCTCTCTCTCTCTCTCTCAAATAAATAAAAATCCTTAAAAAAAAAAAAAAAAAGACCCCTAGAATAGAGTAAGTCAGTATGTGGATCTTATATTAAGGCTAGAGGAGTAAAATTATATATTTTTAAATTTTAAGTGTTGTGGTTTGGGGAGTCAAGTGCCTAAATGAATAAAATGATCTGGGAAGGTACACTTTTTCCCCCACAAACATGAAGCCTGCTTTCATTTATAATAGCCCTGCTTGTGCTTATCATTGTTTTCGAAACTTGATAATTTCTCCTTCCATTCTCATTTGTCTAACTAAAAGCATATTTGTCTTCAGTAGCAACTCTGTGTTCCCCATTCAGTATATACACTGTTTTTGGAATGTGTATATATATATATATATATACACATGCCAAAAAAAATGTGTATATATATGTATGTATATATGTATATGTATATACATATATTTTTTTTTTCCAAGAAAAGTGGACTAGAATGGTCCTGTTGTACTATTTTGACCTGAAAGGAATGGAAGGAAGAAAGAGCAGTGAGAAGAACCCAGAGATTGTGAACACACGTTCATTTTCAGGGACAAACTAATTCCATAATGGAAATTAACACCATTCCTTTTAACAAACACGCTCAAATTGAAAATGGTACAATTATTATGAAATAGTGTTGGCCATTTGCTCTGTTCTTGCTCGGTACTGTCCTAGATGTTGGACCCATGTCTATTTTAGACAGATACCTCTTCCTGGTGGCATTTACATCTTAAGATGGATGCTGGTGAGATCACTCAGTTGGCCTGAAAATAAAGGACTGAAAAAAACACATGCAATTGTGACCCCTTGTTCAGCCAGCTCAAAGAAAGGCTATGCAACATTTAAGAGCCATGCCTCTGGTTACACACAAACTTGTGAACATATTCAAAGCCACTGAATTGTACACTTTGGGTAAATTGTATGGTGTATAAATTATATCTCAATAAAGCTGTCTTTAAGAAAAAGAAAAAAAAAACAAAAAGCTGAGGCATGAGAAGGCTCTTCGCTAAAAAAATACTTTAAGAGGAAAATCATGCCTCTTGTTTTTCTTCTTCGGAAATTCTTCAATTTGATCATGCCATCATTTTCGGTCACCTCTTTGAAATATTCTCTTCTGCTCTTGCCTCCATGTCTTCCCTTCCTCACACTTGTATGGTGTCACATCTATAAAACAGTCAAGATGCTATCCATCTCGCAGAGTTAACAGAATGATAATGAAAGTGTTTGGCACACAGTGACCTGAATTGAGTAAACACTTGGGTCTTGGAAAGCCCTCGGCTCCTCAAAGCTGAGCTGGGGGTGAGAGAAATTCTTTCAGGCAGATTTCCGAGTCAACTCTTGGGGAGATGAAGAAGTGTCTGCTGTTGGGTGGCTTAGACCACAGAGAACCCAGAGGCTAGGTATGCTGTTGGCAAGAGAACTCCATTTTGTTTTCCATTCACAGCCACATCCTTGGCTACTGACTCTGGAATTCAGTACTACAACTCCCAGGTGGTCTTTTGGGGCCCCCTTTCGATTGTTCTGATCCTCCTGGGGCTCCAGTGATTTTCCACAGACTGGAAACCAGAGAGCCAATCAAGAGAAAGAAATCAGGATGAAATGCATCTTCTAAACAATGCCTAGACTTCAGCAGACTTTACAACTTTCCATCAGAAAAGTTTAAAATAACCCATTTTTCACTATTTGTTCATGGGTTGATTTTTACTATTTTCTCCTTGCCCTACAGAAAACAAATCCCAAAATCAAAATGCAAAGCATTATCTAAGGTAACCCAAAGAAAACCCTGAAATAAATAACTAAAACAAGCTGGTGAATTTCAAGAATAATTCCTCCTAACATGTCAGGTTAACTATTATTACTGACTTGTTCCTGTGCAGCAGCAGATAGTCTAGTTAGAAGACTGTAAGCCATAAAAGT